GGCGGGCGCGCGGGCGGGGCCTCCCTGACCGTCCTCTCCGCCCGTAGCCCCCGGCGACGACGCCGCAGCCGTTCTCGCAGCCGCAGCCGGTCCCGGTCCCGGAGCCGATCCCGCTACAGCCGCTCCAAGTCTCGGTCCCGCACGCGCTCCAGATCGCGCTCCACGTCCAAGTCCAGATCCGCGCGGAGGTCCAAGTCCAAGTCGTCGTCGGTCTCCAGGTCGCGCTCGCGCTCCAGGTCCCGGTCCAGGTCTCGGAGTCCTCCGCCCGTGTCCAAGAGGGAGTCCAAGTCCAGATCGCGATCCAAGAGTCCCCCCAAGTCTCCGGAAGAGGAAGGAGCAGTGTCCTCTTAAAATAATGGTAATGTCCGCGGGGTCTGAGCACACAAGCCAAAGTCGTAAATGGGGCTTGGAGTAGTGTTGGAGAGCCTGTTCCCCTAAAGGGGACTCTGGCGTGGAGTGCGGCTCTGAGTTTACTCAGCTTTGGGAGTAATACCGGAGAGAAGAGGGGTCTGCAAAAAGGCTGTGTATAAAGATTAGATAATAATGGCTGTTTCGCGAACTGTTTGAGACCTATTAATGAAAATGACTATTTCTTGCTGTTTTTATCCAACGTCTGCATTTTCCCCTTTAAAGCTGCGGTCTCCTGTTTGATAAAAGAATATTGGCCAGTATTGCAGATTTTAACTGATTTGGCTGATCCTCCAGGGACCAGTTTCTGTGGGCGTGTATTGGAGCCAGGTTTGTCTTTAAATGTTAAAGATGCACTATCCTCTTAGAGAAAACAATCAGTTCAACTATTGTACTGACTGGGACTTCGTATTCTAGTGGATGTGGCAAACGAATTGCAATAAGAAGCACAATAAACTTTTGGAACCCCAAAAAAAGTTCGAAGGTATTGCACTGGGTGGGGAAAGGATAGTGTGTCTTTAACTCTCAAATTGTTTGGTCCTATTTTTTAAAAGGAAAGGGCCCTGAGTAGCTCAGATATTAAAGCATTCGTTATTCTCAATTGCCAGGTGTTCATTTCCAAACTAAAAATTTGCTTTAGAAAGTCAACTAATTTTCTAATTCCAAGTTATAAATTTTTGTTTGAATACAGCCCTTTTTTTTTTCCCTTACCTTTTTTTTTTTTTTTTTTTTTGCAAACTTTGGTTTTTTGGCCAAGAATACACAAGCTCAAACTTGTAAATGCTGATCGTAGTCTTTGAAAAGTTTCCTAATTGGGCCTTTAAAAATCTGACAATGGCTGGGTGGAACCTTACTGTAAAGTACTTGTTTCACTAGAGCCTTAGGAAGTACATGCCTGAGATTGAAACCACGCGCACTTTGGAACCTTCAAGGTAATGGAAGGTAAACTGAACTTAATTTTTTTTCAAACCTAGATGTGTCGGCAAGCAACATAATAGAGGACTTGGGGAGAAAGGACCACACATAAACTCAGTCCATCAGAGAGTCCTTGGAACAAGCAACTGGCTGTTGAAAAGGTTATTTTGTAACATTTGTCTAACTTTTTACTTGTTTTAAGCTTTGCCTCAGGTGGCAAACTTCATTTTATGTGCCATTTTGTTGCTTTTATTCAAATTTCTTGTAATTTAGTGAGGTGAACGACTTCAGATTTCATTATTGGCTTGGATATTTAAGGTAAAATTTCATTTTTGTTTGTATAGTGCTGACTTTTTTTCTTTGAAATTAAACAGATTGGTAATTTGTGGTCTCCCGATTTTAAGGAAACGTGTGCAGCCATTACTTGCTGAATAGCCTAAAGCTGTCAAGAGATTGACTCAACATTGCCTTCATTCCTTAAAATTAAAAACCTACAAAAGTTGGTGTAAATTTGTATATGCTATTTACCTTCAGATCTAAATGGTAATCTGAGCCCAAATTTGCATAAAGACTTTTCAGGTGAAAAGACTTGATATTTTGGAAGGACTGTTTACCAAACACAATTCTAATCTCTTCTCTTATGTATTTTTGTGCACTAGGCGCAGTTGTGTAGCAGTTGAGTAATGCTGGTTAGCTGTTAAGGTGGCGTGTTGCAGTGCAGAGTGCTTGGCTGTTTCCTGTTTTCTCCTGGTTGCTCCTGTGTAAAGCTGCCTTGTCGTGCAGAAACAAATGGCTGTCCAGTTTATTAAAATGCCTGACAACTGCACTTCCAGTCACCCGGGCCTTGCATATAAATAATGGAGCATACAGTGAGCACATCTAGCTGATGATAAACACACCTTTTTTTTCCCCCAATCCCCCAAAATGGTCAATCATCTTCACATATGAACTTAAATATGAAAAAAAAAATGTTCAGGAAGCAAATGGTTTGTAACTTTGTAAGTACTTAAAACGGTGTACTTTTTTGCTTATGAATATTCTGTACTACAACCATTGTTTTCTGTAGTTTAATTAAAACATTTTTCTTGGTGTTAGCTTTTTTCAGAATATGTCTTGGTCTTTTTTTTCTCCTCGTTTATTTTAAAAGACTTATGCACCTATCTTGTGGATGTCATTGGCTGTATTGGTAGGATGGCAGTGAAAGGTTAGGAGCTGGCTTTTCCTAAAGAGGAGTAGAACTGCCAGTTGAGCGCCTACTCTCCTTAAAATCAGTGTTCTGGCAGCACTTTGAGGTTGTCAGTCCACCCCTCTCAAAACCTGATTTATGCCCTATGTAACGATCGAGGAACAATCCAAGTCTTTTTCTCCACAGGTCTTTTTAATTTTTGTTTTCATGATTGTTAGCCGTGAGTGTTTAGGTGACTCATCACAGTTATCTAAGGCCAGCAGGTATGACCGCCTTGAAATCCCACTGCTTCTATTCTGGAACTGAAAGTGGTCTACTGACTGGTAGGTTATGGGCCCCATTGCTACTCAGTGTTGACAGTGCCCCAAAACAGCTCACGGGGGTAAGTCAGGGCTGCCCTTTGCAAAGGAGATGATCAACATTTCAATAGTATGTCTTCCTGGGAGGGCAGACTCTGCTATATCTTCTTGGTCTGCATCAAAAGACTCCAGAGGAATGTGGACACATTTCATATCCCACTTGTAGAGCAAAGCTTCAAGTGACCAGTCAGCACTAAGGAGAAGAAAATTCTTTTTAATCATAGATTTCCTGTTTTTCTTGGGGTATCTTCTTAAAGTTTTCCTTAAACTAGGTATTGGTTTAAGCAGTAAGGCTTCAATTTTAACACATCCAAGTGACACTAAACCAGCACCATTCAGCCTCACCTTCTAACCTGGTAGGTCGACCACAGCTGGACTTTGGGATTCTTTTCCATCAGAAAGTACACAGTAGTTAAAATGTCTTCAAAGTCTGAGGAGAAAGGACTGTTTAATAGACATTTCTACTTAATGTTACAGCTCTCAAGATTTATGGTTAAAAAGAGCAAAAAGCATACCTTCTGGTTCAAAAAATACATCAGATGCAAGAATAACATCTTGTGGTGGTAGAGCCAGAAGATCAGGAGATACATGGCCCCATGTTAGCCCTAGAACATGAACCTGTGGCAGGTTATTCATTTGGCAGCTTTGCTGACAGATTTCTAGAGAATGAGGCAGTTCTGAGTTGTCTGAGAGAATTACTGTAGCACCACATTTTGCAGCCAGAATTCCTGGAAGGCTCACCCCAGCTCCAATCTAGAAGTTTAAAGAGTGTTTCAGAAATATGCACAGAATTACAAAGAGCTTCGGATCTTACTCAGTTTTGCAGGATTTCATCCTTGCCTCGGTCTTTGACAAGCACCTGGTTGGTGTGTAAATACGAGTTTGGGCTTGTCAGGTCTATGAAGTATGTGTACCATAATTAAACACTGCATTTATGAAGAGAAGGAAGCTTAGGCTTTGAATTTGACAAACTTGTTGTCAGAGGTTGATTGGGATCTAGTATTTTGCAACTGACTTAATATGTGTTACTCCTAAACTTAATGTACATTCTAGCGTCTCTGCTCAGTATGTGCAAGGAAGAAGTTTGGGACACTTGTCCATCCTGTCCTGATTTTCAGTTCCCTACTTGCATGAGGAAACCCTGGTAGCTTAGTGGTTAAGAGTTACAGCTGCTAACCAAAAGGTGGGCAGCTTGAATCTACCAGGCGCTCCTTGGAAACTCTCTGGGGGCAGTTCTACTCTGTCTTATAGGGTCACTATAAGTCGGAATTGACGGCAATGGGTGTGTGTTTGGTTATAGGCACGAAGTACAAATTAAAATACAGTAGCTCCTGATTCCATAGGATGCCAGTTTTTCATATTTAAAAAAAAGATCCACAGGTGATTAGGTTGTAAGCAACTCTTGTCACAGGGTAACCCAATACCAATTTTAATTGCTTTTCTGTGGCTGAAACTTGACAGCGGCATGGCTTTTGATTGAAGAGGCTATTTCCAGTTTAGCCTATAAAGTGCAAGCCACTTGGTAAATAAGCTGAAGGCACAAGTTTTCCCCAAGACTGTTACCAAGCACCCTGAAATCAGCATTATACACACTCCTTAGAATTAAAACAGCAAATTTCAAATAGGTGTTATCACTTCTTTATCCCAATATCATGTTCTCTGTGGCAAGATAATCCTTTTAGGCCTGTGAATCAAAAATGAAGTACTAACTTTCGATTAAAACACAAGCTTATAGTTAATAAAGGTTAAGTTTCCAATTTGTCAGCTTTTCGGTTTAAGCACTGAAAATCTACCACTTCTGCACTCTTGAAAAACGTTTCAGGCCTTCAGCAGTCTTGAGCCAGGTGGGATGGTGTGAAAGTTAGGAGCCTGGGATATATTTTCTAACACTTAAAAAAACATAAGCATTCTCAGTTCACAGGCCTTACAAACTGGCCCGAACCAACCCCAGATTTAGAAGACAAGTTTTGTTGAAAACAGTTAATAAAAACCAATTGACGAGCATATGGGTACATGGACACACAAATCTGAACATAACCTAGGAATTGGGAAGCCTCCAGGGCCACTTTTACCTCTAATATTGCCTTGCCTGGCAGAGACCTTCTGTGAAACCACAGGTACTGGGCCAGGACCACAGCGCAGGGCCAAACATACATTCCATATTGGAGATGCAGGACCTGTGAAGATAAAAGTTTGTTTGCCATAAATATCTGCTGGAAACTGGAATATTTATACAGCATTTACTGAGTGCCAAACACCAGCATCTATTACAAAAACAGCAGTCCTTCATCCCAATTAATTAGCCCAATAATGTGTTTAGTGCTTCTGTTAGACCTAGTTCATTGCATAACACTTCGGTCTTTTGCAAGCTGCCATCTAAGGCACAAATGGTTTGTATTCGCCTGGAGCAACAGAGGAAGATGAGTCAGGAATAGGAAGAGGATATGGAATGTGTGGCAAATTTGCCTCCATGAACAACTGCCACCTTTGCCGTGAGACCAGAAAAACTGGATGGTGCCAGGCTACCATTACTGAACATTTTGATCAAAGATTCTATAGAAGAATCCTGATCAAAAGCAGGGGAAATGTGGAATGGAATTTCAAATTCTCACAGACTCCAGACTTTCTGGAGCCATGGAGGCTGGATGAACCTTTGAAACTACTGCCCTGAAATAATCTTTAAACCTTAAGCCAAAAATACCCTCTGCCTGAAGTCTTCTCAAAACCAAACAGCTTGAGGGTACTGCCTAACCTCTTACTTCACAAGGGGAATGGAGAATCAAGGTCGACAGCCCAGTGTTGATTCCCATGAGGCAGAGGTCAGACATGCCTCTTCTTTCTGCCATCTTTACTAATTCTGACACCAACAGTCCCTCCACAGCACTCTTGTACTAGGTTCGATAATTCATTGCAATGGCCACACAACTCAGACCATACTCACAATTATGGGGCTTATTAGGGAAATAACAGTTACAATTCAGGCTCAAGAACACTCAGGATACAGTTCTTCCATGAGGATAGCCTCTCCCTGGCCCTCAGTCTCTGCCTAAAGGCACTCAGCTTTCTCTTTCCATGGGCCAGGAAGCCCACCACACGGTCTCCTGCTGCAGGCTCTCTCCTTCCTTGGTGGTGGGCTCCTTCCCCTTGCTCTGGAATTGGCTCTCTTTTAAGGCAAAATTGACCAATCCCCTCGGTGGGCCACAATCGCCCTATCACACAGTCACCTGATTGGGAGTTACAACACCATGGCTAAAAAGGCCACACACAAAAGTTAATTAATCCACCGCAACCAGTAAAAAATGTCTGCCTTGAGCATTGCGCTATTTTAAGAACTATCCCCCAGTGGTTAAGCTTGGCTGCTAACCAAAAGTCGGCAGTTCGAATCCACCAGCCACTACTTAGACACCCTATGGGCAGTTCTACTCTGTTCTGTAGGGTCGCTATGACAGCACCCGGTTTGGGTTTGGTTTATATGGGATCAAAGTGACGACAGCAACTCAAAAGATTCGATAGGAACCTCGGAGCAGTGAGTTTGTTGGTGGGGAAGGAACAAATCAGAAAAGAGGCTGAGAATGGCTACACAACTCGAAAATAATCCACGTCACTGAATTGTAGAAATGGTGGATGTTCCTAGCTGTGTATATTCTCAACAAAATTTTTTTAAAAAGGAATAAAAAGGCAGTTCCTGCTCTCCAGGAGTTCAGAGCCTACAGGGAAATAAAAAGATTTAGCTGTAATACCATATGATAAGCAGTTCATATTCATTCAACAAGTATTTATCCAATGCCTGAGTATCAGGCACTATTCTAGGCTGGGGATGTAGCTGTGAAAGCCAAGGTTTCTGTTCTCATGGAGCATATATCCTATGAGAAGAGACCCGCAACAAGCAGGAAGGTAGTTTTGGTTAGTGGTAAATGCTACGAACAAAATGGGGTGATGTGAGAGTAAGTATTCCTGGGGGGCCCAAATAGGTGAGCACTTGACTGCTGGCTGGAAGGCTGGCTCAAGTCCACCTAGAGGCAGCTCAGAAAAAAGGCCCAGGAATCTACTTCCAAGAAAGATCACAGCCACTGAAAACCCCTTTCAAAAAGCTCCCCAAGAGGAGGGTGCAAGCAAAGGCCCTGAGGCAGGAACGGGAAGTCGTCAGTGGCTAGAGCCTGGAGAGCGCTGGCAGAGCGGGTCTGGGGAATGGAGGCATGTTGTGCGTGCAAGTGAAGGTCAGAAGGGAAGGCCAGACCTTGGGAGGTCTTGGAGGCCACAGAAGTTTAGATTTTATTCTAAGTGCAGTGAGATACTGGAAGGTTTAAAGTCCAAGCATAACTCAGTATACTCATGGAAAGCAGTGTGGTCCTAGAAAGCTTCCTAGAAGAGAGATGCATGGAGCTGAATCCTGAAGTGAGGCAGGCAATGTACAAAACCTTTGGAAAGGCACCGAATCACAAGAGTATGGTATTTAGGAAGGCCACATAACATAGCTCACACCTCTGCAATGAGCTGCCTGAGTTCAAACTCCAGACCCGTCATTTACTAGCTGTGTGACCATGCACAAGTTACTTTACCTGTCTGTGCTTGTTTCCTCCAGGGCAAAATACTATCTCACAGGGTAACTGGAAGATTAAATGCAAACCACTTAGTACAATGCCAGGCACAAAGGAGGCATTGAGCCCACAATTAGTACCTGAAACTGAAAACCTGCAAGTCTTTGTCATCTAGGGGGGTAGGAAGGGAGGTGAAGAGGTGACATATCAGAGGTGAACGGCTTCATTGTGCTGTCCCCGGGGATCGGACCCTAATCCTTCAATCCACTCAACAAAAATATTAGCGCCTAAAACACGTTGCCCAGTGTTCTAAGTGTAGGCATACTGTGAACAAAGGACAAGAATGCCTGTCCTGCTGGAGCTTCCATCCTGGTGGATTTCACCCAGCAGTGCAGTGAAGACCCAAGGAAGGATTCTGACCAGAGGAACAACTTGTGCAGATCGGGGGGTAGAGGGGTTTCTATTCTCACAGGGAGTATCTTCACCCCTAAATCTGGGGAGTAATCCAAAAGGGTATTTCAATGCGAAGGCGTTTGGAAACTCAACTGGATTCCACTTCAGCCTTTAACTTCTAAAGCTGTTTCTTCACATTAAAATGGGACTACTAATGCGTACTTCACAGGCTACTGGTGTAAGCAAATGACATCTGCAATGTGAAAGTGCTTTGAACAACTGAACGCATAGTAAGTTATTACTGAGAGTTTTGTGACAGCTGTGAACTCAAAGCAGTGGGCGCCAACCCAAGAAACTACCGGGGCAGTGAGAGGTGGAATTCCGGGTCTCAGAATTTATACAAAAGTGAGAGAGAAAGCCGAATTATGAAGCTTTTCAGCAAGATTAAGGAAAACAACAGGTGTCAAGAATGCTACTCTCCTGGCAGGAAATATTCGGTGTGAAGAGGCCCCCTTCCTGGCAGTCTCCAAATTTCTTTCTGAAAGTCATTTAATCGGCCAAAAGCTTTCACACCAAACCTTTCTGCTCTGCAGTCCAACCTAAAGAAGGAAGCTGACGCAGCTGAGGGTCCTCTCCCCACCCTTCCCTACAAGAAGCCCCAGCCATGTCTGCTCAGAACCGCTCCTGCCCTCGGCGCCACCGCTGAAGCACTGCTGGCCGGCGCGCTACGCGGCACGCACCTGCGGCACGTGGACCTCCAGCACGGCCCTCTCGGCTCCCGAGCCCGGCTCCTCTGAGAACCGAAAGCGCTGGGCCCGGACCACAAACCCTTGGAAGCCACGCTCCCCGGGAGGGGCGTCGCTTGCGGCCCCTGGGGCGACAGGGAGCCGCGGAGGGCGCCGGACCGCCAGGCTGCGTGCGCGGGGACCCGCGGGACCGGGTGGGGCCGCCACGCCGGCGCCACGTGGCCCTCCACGGCCCCGCCTGCTCGCTACAACCTGGCAACAAGAAGAAAAGGCCCACGTGGGTGATGTGGTCGCGCGGCGCGAAGAACAAACCAGAAGCAAACCCAAAAACCAAGAGCTGCGTGCCCAACCGGAAACAAGGGCCTGAGGCGGCTGGAGGCCGGAACTTACGCAAAGCGGAAGCGGGCGCAGGCGGGGGCGCGGCTCCTAGCACTCTCTGACCTTCCCAAGATGGCGGAGGCCTGGTGTGGCTGAGGGCGGCCCTGCAGGCGCGGAGGCCAATGGATGACTGCGAGAGGCTCGGGGGCGGGGAAGACGGCGCCGCACGCCCAACCCGAAGCTGGGGAGGTGGTTAGGGAGTGAATTTTCTGGAAGGCGGCTTTAAAGGCGCTGGGCCAGCGCGAAGGGCGTTTGGGGGCTGCTGCCGCCGCCCGGTCTGGGAGGGGGGGCCGTCTCGGTGGCAGGAAGCGAGCTGCGCCCGAGGTCGCCGCGGAGCCAGCTGGTGACCCCGCAGAATGAACCACAAGAGCAAGAAGCGAATCCGCGAGGCCAAGCGCAGTGCGCGGCCGGAACTGAAGGACTCGCTGGACTGGACCCGGCACAACTATTACGAGAGCTTCTCGCTGAATCCCGCGGCCGTGGCGGTGAGCAGGCCGGGCACGCGGGGCTGGGCGTGGGCCTCTCGAGCGGTCGCGCACTTTCCCACGGCCCGCCCCGAGCGCGGCACCCCGGAGCGCGGAGAGGCTCACCTGCGCAGCGCGGAGTCGGGGACACCCTACGCCCGGACTCTGGGGCGGGCCTCCTTCATGCTGCAGCCGATCGCCTGCCCGTGCAGCTGGGGTCTCACGCTTTTGGCGCCCCCAACAAGACGGCCCGTCGCCATGCACTCCTTTGGGCGGCGGGGCCCTGGGGGAGCTGCCTGGCAAGGCTCACGGGTGGGCGATTTCGCGAAGCCCCCCGCTCCTGGTGAGGTGGCGCTGGGTGCAACGTGTTCACACGCACGCGGGCTTTTTCCACCCCCGTACTCCACCCCCAGGAGGAGCCAGAACAAGAATCTGGCTCCTTAGGTATGTCATTGCTAATTGGCCCAGAGAGGCTTATTCGTCGTGCTACCGGACTTCTTTTTTTCTAACCGGTGAGGTCTTTTCTGTTTCTCTCAGGATAACGTGGAAAGAGCAGACGCTTTACAGCTGTCAGTAGAAGAATTTGTAGAGCGATACGAAAGACCTTACAAGCCCGTGGTTCTGCTGAACGCCCAAGAGGGCTGGTCTGCCCAGGAGAAGTGGACTCTGGAACGCCTCAAAAGGAAATACCGAAACCAGAAGTTCAAGTGTGGCGAAGACAACGATGGCTATTCCGTGAAGATGAAGATGAAGTACTACATCGAGTATATGGAGAGCACTAGAGACGACAGTCCCCTTTACATCTTCGACAGCAGCTATGGTGAACACCCCAAAAGAAGGAAACTCTTGGAAGACTACAAGGTGCCCAAGTTTTTCACTGATGACCTGTTCCAGTATGCAGGGGAGAAGCGCAGGCCCCCTTACAGGTAAAGCACCCCGCAGTTGTCTGGTTAAAATCTTATCTATGGCAATGTCTGTTAGCTAACATTTAGTTGTGTTGGTTTGTTAGTTCAGTCAGCGAACCTTTTTCCAAAAGAGTGAGTGGTTTAGCTTTGGCTGCACGTTGAACTTGCTTAAGGGGCTACTGATGTCCGCCTGGGTCCTCCTGCCAGAGTCTGTAATTGATCCGGGTGCTGCCTCTGCAGCAGGATTTCTTAAAGCTCCCCAGCTGATCTGCATGTGCAACCAATGTCGAACTGCTGGTGTATAAGGAAAGTTCTGATGATTGGAACCTAGCAGTCAGCCACATCTCTGATTTTCCTTTTGTCTGTTAAGGATCAGTCCACACACAATGCACTCGGCGTTTCTGTGTACTAGAGTTTGTGTAGTCTCTTGAAAGATAAAAAGATATTGGTCCCCACCCATTACACAATCACAGCCTAACTGAAACAAATGGGTTTGGTTTCTGTCAAAACATAGGTTCTGGGCCAGTCCACTCTTTGTAATGTAGTTACAGCAGCTTCCAGTCCCATCTGACCATTGCACCACTCTACCTGCTTTGCCCAAGGAGTTGTCAAGGCGTGTCCTACAGATTCCAACCCGGGTCTGAAGGGTGAGGACCCCAGTGATAATGGGACCCCATGCTAAAGTCTCTTCTGTGAGCCACCCAGGGGATCAGTGTCTATAGTCCTTCAAAAAGCACCCTTGTTGGAAGCAGCCAACAACCCAGTGGAGTCAAACCTCTCTCTTGGAGACGTGACGGCCTTGGTGTGGCACTGTGCCCCATGCCTGTGCCTGGAGAAGCTCTAGCTGGAGCATCCCCCTCCTTACAGCTTAGACTTCAGTGTCCGGCAGACAGGGAGGAGAAATAACTGACCCAGTGATTGTAGCAAGTCAGTTTAACCTTTCTCTGCTTCAGGGTGGTGGTAGTGAGGCTGAGTAAATGAGAGAACATACAGCAACAGTGTAACCACCCCAGTGCCCAGGATGCACATTAAATGGTTGCCCTTCTCTCTAAAGCACCTTCTCTTGTAGTGGTTGGAAATAATTTATGCTTAATACGAAGCTTTTACAAACAAAGAATAAAATATTGTATAAAAACAAAACTTGCCATCTCGTGTATGTTTACATTATCACGCATACTGTAATGTTTCAATCCTGCAGGTGGTTTGTGATGGGACCACCACGGTCCGGAACAGGAATCCACATCGACCCTCTGGGCACCAGTGCCTGGAATGCCTTAGTTCAGGGACACAAGCGCTGGTGCCTGTTCCCTACCAGCACGCCCAGGGAACTCATCAAGGTGACCCGTGAAGAAGGAGGGAACCAGCAAGACGAAGCTATTACCTGGTTTAATATCATTCATCCCCGGACACAGCTCCCAACCTGGCCACCCGAATTCAAACCCCTGGAAATCTTACAAAAACCAGGAGAGACTGTCTTCGTACCAGGTATACATGAACTAGAAGAAAGTACATTCTTTGATTTCAGTAGATTGTTATTTTGGAGTAGAGCTACCGAATGAGTCAAAAAACCCAATTGCATGCTGACAGGGACCAGTTCCTAGAGAAGGACATCATGCTTGGTAAAATAGAGGGTCAGCGAAAAAGAGGAAGACCCTGAATGAGATGAACTGACACACTGGCTGTAACAGTGGGCTCAAACGCAGAAACGACCGTGAGGATGCTGCAGGAGCGGGCAGTGCTCCATTCTGCTGTGCACAGGGTCGCCGGGAGTCGGAACGACTCGACAGTGCCCAGCAGCAGCAGCCATGCTGACTTTAAGTGATCTGACTGGGTACCCGGGGCTGATAATCACTGTGTGTTAGTTATAGCCTCAGTTACTTAGGGGGCTGGAGTCCACATTTACTGTAACCTAAATATAAAACCGTTGATGAACTTTACATATGTAAAAGTCGTACTAATGTTTATCCATAGAGGGTACCTGGTGTCTTTCTGTAAATTGGGCGTTTGATGCAGTGTAGCACTGGGTAGGTTGAGGCAGGAAATGTTGCTTCTAGCGGATACCAATTCATGGTAACCCTATGAGTGTCAGAGTAGAACTGTGCTCCGCAGGCTTTTCAGTGGCTGATTTTTCAGAAGTAGATCGCCAGACTTCCCTTCTGAGGTGCCTCTGGGTAGACTCAAAGCTCCAGTCCTTCAGTTAGCAGCCATGCACGTTAACCGTTTGGACCACCCAGGGACTCCAGTTCAGAGCTGTTGTTGGGTGCCTTTGAGTGGATTGTGACTCATAGTGATCTCACATGACAGTAGAACTGCCCTATGGGGTTTTCTTGGCTGTAATCGTAAAAGAAGTGGATTGTCAGGTCTTTCTCCGACAGAGCCGCTGGGTGGGTTCGAACCGCCAACATTTTGGTTAGCAGACTGCTTAACTGCTGTGCCACCAGAGCTAGGAGGCAGGAAATCCCACACTTGAAAGCTACACATTATCTTGATACGTTAAAATCTATGAGAGTATTTAAGATGGATATCCCCCTCCTGGAGGCTCAGTGGTTAAGAGCTCAGCTGTTAACCAAAAGGTTAGCAGTTTGAATCCACCAGCCGCTCCTTGGAAACCCTATGGGGCAGGTCTGCTTTGTCCAGTAGGGAGGCTGTGAGTTGGAATCAAGTCAACAGCAATGGGTTTGGTTTAGTTTTTAAACCTCTCTTAGCACTTGCTGCCTTTACAGTTTTGGTCAAAGATTTGGGTTAGCAGCAGTCGGCCAACTTTTTATGTAAAGGGCCAAATGGTAAGTATTTTCAGCTGTGCAGGCCACACAGCCTCTGTCACAACCACTCCAGCCTCGTTGCGGGGAAGCAGCCACAGACATAAACGAGTGGGCGTGGCTGTGCTCTAGCAAGACTTTCCTACAAAAGCAGTGTCACTTGCCAATCCCTGGATCAGATGCGTGTTTATCCCTCCAGACCCCGCGTCTGTGAGGTTCCCCCTTACAGATAGGAGCCCCCAGTTTCTGAAGTTTGTGTTACCTAATAATTGTGTCCTGAACCAAATCCTGTGTAACTGTTGAATCTGTTGGATTTCAGGAGGCTGGTGGCATGTCGTCCTCAATCTTGACACCACCATTGCCATCACCCAGAATTTTGCCAGCAGCACCAACTTCCCTGTGGTGTGGCACAAGACGGTAAGAGGGAGACCAAAGTTATCGAGGAAATGGTATAGGTGAGAGACATTTTTCTTCCTTAGGTTTGCTTCGTTCCGATCCCACCCCCCCACCCCCCGAGATAAACGGGAAATGCCCACTGCCGGAGGAGCGTGTGCCGGTCTTAGCGGAGCCAGGGAAAAGCCGGGCACAGAACCTCATGGGTCGAGGAGAGCGGGCCCACGGTCAGGGCTGTTCTCCAGGTGTTGGAGCAAAGCCAGCCACAGCGTGGTCATAATTGGGATTGTTGCTTGTCCCTTCTTCCCAAAGCTCGCACTAGCGAAATTTTGGGTTTGGTTTTGGTTTCGGTGATTTCTTTTTATCACCCTGAAGCATTGTTGCCGTTTGAACGTATTTCCTCAGTTGTTGTGAGCGAGGTGACTGCCCTGGAGACTTAGCTCCTCTGTTTATCCACAGAACAGATACAGCACGGGCAGCGGCAGTGCAAGCCTCCCCCAGCCACCCCGTGCCACTGTGTCCCCACCCTGACCTGGAGGGACCAGCTCTCGGGGTAAGAGAGGGGTTCCGGCTTGTTCAAGGCTCAGCCCCCCTGCTGAGAGGGCCAGCAAGGGTGGTGGCTTCTGTTCTCCCTGACTCTGGGGCGTCGGAGGCCCCCTTGCTCTGCTCCACAGGCTGCCCACCAGCCTTGCCACACAGCGAGTCTTTTGTCACTGATGCCAGTGGACGCCAGCTTAGGTTCTGGAAGAGGAGGGCTGCCCCTCAAAGTCCAGTCCAGTTTTATCTTCCGAGTAGCGGGGGGCTTTCTCTCATGACACCTTGTGTTTCTTACAAACCTATTTTTTTCGACTCTTACAAATAGGATTTAACCAAACCTGACTTCGGTCATTAAGTGCTGTGTTGTGGAAGGGAAACGTTTAAGGAAAAAAAATCTAAGGTTCAGAAACAAAACTAGGGAAGGAGACTTGTTTCTTACCGAGGGGAAAACCAAGACCGTCTCAGCGACCTTGGGTCCCGTGTGGGTGGCACGGCAGCTCCTCTGTGCGGGTGGGGGCGAGTTGCAGGTAGCGAGCGTCCCCGTCTCCCTTTCAGAGGTTTTTGTTCCCAGCCTGTGGCTTTGTGTGTCCTCACCACTGTGCAGGACCCCTTCTGCATTGACACACCTGGCAGTCCTAGGTGTTTCAAAGAGACGCGGGCCTCAGCTCTGTGTCTCAGTCATTGAGTGCGGTGCCACCTGCTGTCACAGCCCTGAGAACAGCCTTCTTGTCTCTCAGGATCTTGAAGCAAGAGCACCCCGAGTTGGCGGTCCTGGCTGACTCCGTCGACCTGCAGGAATCCACGGGGATCGCCTCCGACAGCTCCAGCGACTCCTCCAGCTCGTCCAGCTCCAGCTCGTCTGACTCAGACTCTGAGGTGAGGGCCGGCCCGCTCGCCCGCCCTCCAGGCTCCTGTCAGCACTTCCCAGATAAAACAGGAGCCACTTCCTCCTCCCGCCCTGGCGTGGGGAGACACCGGCGTCTTCTCACCATCTTCCGAAAACTTCACCTGCTGTCACCCCTGCTGCGGGGTGAATCTTGCCACTTCATAGTACATGTTGATTGTGATGGTAGCCTCAAGAGTATAAAGGGTATTTGGGGTTTGGGTTGAGTAAATGGTCCGTGATCACACAGCAGAGAGCAGTGTCGGGATGCAGACTCGGTCACTGAGACTCAGAGCCCACGTGAGGAGTTTCTGCCGCGGGTGGGAAATTGTCAGCCTGGAAGCGCAGCAGATCCAGGGACTTTTGCAAAGCTCACACGGTGCTGGCTGAGAGGGCCCTGTGCCTTTTTTTTTTTTTTTTGAATTTTATTTTATTGTTGTGCTTTAAGTGAAAGTTTACAATTCAAGTTGGTCTCTCACACAAAGATACATACATTGTTACGTGACTCTAGTTGCTGTCCCTATGCTGTGACAGCACATTCCTCCTTTCCACCCCGGATTTCCCGTGTCCGTTCAACCAGCTCCTGACCCTCTCTGCCTTCTCATCTTGCCTCCGGACAGGAGCTACCCATTTAGTCTCATGTATCTACTTGAACTAAGAAGCACACTCTTCATGAGTATCATTTTATGTCCCATAGTCCAGTCTAATCTTTGTCTGAAGAGATGGCCTCAGGAATGGTTTTAGTTTTGGGCTAACAGTCCGGGGGCCATGTCCTCCGGGGTCCCTCCAGTCTCAATCAAATCATCAAGTCTGGTCTTTTTACTAGAATTTGAGTTCTGCACCCCACTTTTCTCCTGCTCCATCAGGGACTCTGTTGTGTTCCCTGTCAGGGCGGTCATTGTGATAGCCGGGCACCATCTAGTTCTTCTGGTCTCAGGCTGGTGGAGTCTCTGGTTTATGTGCCCCTTTCTGTCTCTTGTAGCGCCCTGTGCCTTTAGCAGACGAAATTTCCTGTTGCTTGGCTTTACAGAACCTACTGACCAAATCTGTTCTCATTTCGGGAGCGTGTTCCCTGAGTGTCGAGTGCTGTACTTCCTTACTTTGGTGTGTCCAGCACTGTGTTGTGCGGTGAGATTCCAAGATGCGTTTCAGGATGCTGACTGCATAATATTTCAAGAACTGTGGTGGTTGTGTGCCATTGAGTCAATTCCAACTCGTAGCGACCCTGTGTGACAGAGGAGAACTGCCTCAGAGGGTTTCCTAGGCTGTCATCTTTACGGGAGCAGCTCACCAGGTCTTTTGTTCTGAAGAGCTGCTGGTGGGTTCCAACCACCGATCTCTCGGTTAGCCGCCAAACTTGTAACCATTGTACCACTGAACAACAACAACAAAAAACAAGCCATTGGCCATCAAGTTGGTTCCAACTCCTAGCAACCCCTTGAGACAATAAAACTGCCCCATAGGGTTTCCAAGGCTGTCATCTTTACGGAAGCAGACTGCCACATCTTTCTTCCACAGAGTGGCTGGTGGGTTCAAACTGCCAACCTTTCAGTTAGCAGCCGAGTGCTTCACCAGTGCACCACCGGGGCTCCTGTCTGAAGACTAGGTGTCCTGATTTCAAAGGAATAACCATTCCACTGGAAAATAATGACGTCTGAGAGGTGATTGCAGCTCTTAAAGAGCAGAATCTGTAGATGAGGTGGAGTGGGATTATCACGGGGTCACCATAAACGACAGCCTTGCGCAGGGCTTGTCTCCTGAGGTCAAAGGTTTGTTTGATGAAGTGGGTTGTGCCGGGCTGACTCCCTGTTTTTCTCTTCCGCGTCCAGTGTGAGTCTGGGTCCGAGGGCGACGGGACGGTACACCGCAGGAAGAAGAGGAGGACGTGTGGCATGATGGGGAACGGCGACACCACCTCCCAGGACGACTGTGTGAGCAAAGAGCGCAGCTCCTCCAGGTGACCACACACGGCCGCTGTCTGTCTAGAAGGATGCGCGCGCGTCAGCGAGGGTAGGGCCTGGGGAGGCAGCCTCTTGGAGCCGGCAGCCAAGGGGTGGGCCGATGAGAGCCGCAGAACGAGGATGCTCTTGGGATGTGAGTCCATTCACCTCACATTTCGCTAGCAGTAGCTTCTCCCTCTGCTGCCAGTGCAGATTAATGTGGCTTGTTTTATGCGTAAAGGCAAGGATGTGGGTGAGTGGTGCCAAGGAAACCCCTTACGTTATTTAATAAAAATTGAATCCATTTTATATCTTTGAGATTTCTTTTGCTCTGAGAACACCAGACCCTCCCCTTGTTGCTTTTCTCCCTATTGTGGTCTTGAGGGGGAGCAGTGACTCCAGGTGTGTGTCCTCGGGATATGACAGTAATAGAGGCCTGGCCCCTTGCTTTGTCTCCCAGTTTGCCATTGGTGCTTTGATTGCTCAGGCCAAGTTGGACAGCAGCAAAGCTCCCAGATGTTTTGTGGAATCTCAAACTCCTTATCACATCTACACTGTTTTTTTTGTTTTGGAAACAGGATTGGATCTTAGTAAGTTAAAACTTAAAGTCAGTTAAGGGAATCTTTTTGCAGGCTCCTGTCCTAGTGTGGGACACCTTCCAGGCTCAGAGGCATGTGTCTGCAGTCTTTAGATCCCGAGGGCCTTTTTGCGATGTGCTACTTGAAGCATGTCTGTAGCGTTAGGAAGTGACATTGTGGGAAGACAGTAAAACATTGAGGTTTGTAGGATCCTAAGTGGCTCCACTCACCGCTCCTGGTGACGTTTCTGGTATGTCGTTGGTGTCTCTGATCAGCTGGGTGTTTTCTTAAATGTGTTATGAAAGGTTAGGACCCACCGTCCTTTCTCTTGTCTTTTCCGAGTCCTCTATAGTGTGGCGAGAAGTCCATGTGTTTTGCTCGAGGAAATCTATCAGGCTGCCATGAGCATCTCTCAGCTCTGGTTGTCCGCCCCACAGTCATACTCAGGTTTCTCTTCTGCCCTTTTTATGTGCTTTGAGCTGCATAACTTTTTTCTGTTATTCTGTAGTTGCTTCTGCGGTCATACATTGCTTAACATTCGTGATATATTCTGTGAAATAGGATGTTATGTGACTTGGACATTGTGTCAACACCATGTTATATACAGGCAATTCCCGGATTACAAATGCTCTCTATTCCTAAGTCTGTCTTTAAGTTGGAACAGTTAGCTACAATTCATATCTAACATCAGTTAGTCAAGTGTTTGTCTGAGTACATAGTATACAGTATATCTTTCTATGCATAAAAAACATGGAACACTTCCAGTTACGCTGAAATCGCTTTAACATAATAATACAGTAAAAACGTTCTGACGGCATCTCACAAAATAGTGCACGTTTGTAATTATGAACCATTGTTTGTGCCTCAGATTTTCAATATGATGGGCTGCACGGGGGATGTGACAGGGATGTACGTGAGGCCTTTGCCTGAATGGATGTTAGGCAGTCCATGACTGTATTATTTTATATGTATACCTGTTCTTGATGTGACTTTGATTTGCAAGAAAAATTTTTAGAGAAAGCCCTGCCATTGTTTCAACATGGGGGGTTGGGGGTGGTGGTTCTGCTTTTAACCATTTCCTTCCAGCTCTGCACACCTGTGCTGTCTACGTGCTGATTACAGGCAGTTGTACTTTCTTTGGCAGGATTAGGGACACTTGTGGAAGCCGGGTTCACCCCTGAGCAAATAAAGAGACTCCCTGAGGTGGCTCCAGTGTGCACTGTTGGCGGCCCCCCAACTTGGTTTTCACCTCTTCTGTTCCTGCCTTCTCCTTTGTCTTCTTTGAATTTGGATAATCCTTCTCTGGTCCCAGCTCCTATCTTCCCGTCAAGTGCTGTTTTTACCGCTTGCTAAGACTAGATTACCAAGAAATACAACACCACGCCAGGCCCAGTGAGACACTGCCGGCTGACCTGATGGTGGATACGAAGGTTCTGTTCTGTCTCCTGTAAACCCAGCTGGTCGTCAGTGAGGCTGGAAGGCGGTGGTCCTTGCAACATCTCATCGTCTCTGTTAACCGAAGTGACATTCGTAAGGAGCGTCAGCTGTCCCCAGAGCTAGTGCACACAAGCAGAGACATTGTAGGTGGTGAGCCGACTGACTCGTGTGAACCAATCACGTGTAAGAAGTGCGGGGAGTGTGAGCGGCTCCCTATGTCATCGTTCATCCAGAGACGCATTTGATGGCAGTCACCCCGCCAGCTCCTCCAGCCGCTGCCCAGTACTGCTCCTGATCTTTTATCTGTTCTCCATGATCAGAGAGGCTGCTCAATTTCAGGGGAATTTTTATGTGGTGTGGTTTTATTAGGCGGGTAATAACAACACATTGGGGGTCTTGTTTAAGTACAGTTATGGGGGAAAGGTGTTCACTGTGTTCTTATCACTGAACTTACATTATAAACGGGCGCAGTCTAACGCTTGTGTTCCACCCTTCACCAGCACACGATCCGTAAGTGGGAAGCTCTCAGTTTGTCAGAGCGCTTTATGTTTGGCTTAGCATGAAGTAGGGGCTTGTGCTGCGTGCAGGGAATAACTCAGAGGTGGTTCTTGCAGTCTTTGGGGGTCTGTTTATACTCATAATTAACTCTGGTGTGAATATTTAGGGGTTGACCAGCAGGTTCCATCTCTTGCCCTCTTGATTCACCTGCTTGCCTTAATCTACCCCTAAATTCAACTAAACTTAACTGAAAACAAGAGGGGGCTTGTCAAGGACATGCAGGCAGAAAGCCGCATTCTGGGTTGGAATGCAGGGGCTGCCCAGCTAGAGAAGGAGCCCTCGCTGTAGTGTTCCGGAGAAGTGGAGAGTTTGTGTGGACGTATTAGGATTGCGTGGTGTTGCTTCTCAAAATACCCCTGAAGGTGGGTGTGACCAAGAGAATCCAGGTCCCCTTTCCGATGTTAGATTTATTCTCATTCCTGACACAGGAGCACGCAGCTTGGCTCCAGGCTGTGGGTCCCTGTTTTGTCTTAGTTCAGTTTTCTTCCTCCTGAAATGCCCACCCAGGTGTGTGGCTGGGTTGGTAGGACAACTTCTGCCACTTTCCTCAAAGTCAGCACCCATCCCTCTACCAGCAGTTGGCACTGCTCCCCCTCCGGGCGGCAGCTCCAGCTGTTGCCTGTTCCTGGGGAGGGGGCGTCCGGTATGTGTTTGGGTGTGAGGAGAGTCAAACCCTGAATGTGTCATCTCTTTGTACTTGATATCTGATTTGTGTTCCTCCTCCTGTTTTTTGAAAGAAGTTTTCTTATCTTCAAAAAGCTTTTTTTGAAAAAAGCGTCAGCAAAAAAGAGGAAGACCCTTAATGAAATGGACTGACACAGTGGCTGCAACAGTGGGCCCAGACACGGCAAGGGTTGTGACGCTGGCGCCGGACCGGGCAGTGTGTCGTTCTGTAGTACACAGGGTCGCTGAGTCAGAACTGACTCGACAGCACCTAACAACAACAAACCATGCTGGAGAATTCATTTCCCCTTTTTCCAGTTTTACGCCAGTTTTTCAATTTCATACCAGTCACTCCCCTCTCAACTTGCCTTTAAACAGACGAACGAGAAAAGGCTATTTGCCACCAGGGGGAGTGGTAGGGCATGTTTGCCTGCAGCTGGGACGCTGGCAAGGAATTTGAATTTGAAGATTAGCAACCCGTTTCCTTCTCCAGATGCCTATTTGATAAGCAACATCCAGAATCAAGGGATCTAGCCCATCTGGCAGGTCCGCAGTCACCTCTCCGAAAGCGCCTGGGTAGCACAGGTTATGTGCTACTGTTTGGCAGCTGCCCCCCATAGAGAACCATGGGGCGTATTTCACTTGTTCTAGCCCAGGCCACGGGTTCAGCCCCTGCCCCATTTCCTGGCGCCATGGGCCAGCTGAGCACTCAGAGAAGCAAAGCGGGAAGAGGTGGAAACCAAGTGTGACGGGTGGGGAGGTGGCCGGGGACCTGGATAGGGTAGTGAACAGGAACCCGGGATCCGTCTGTTCTCACGCCACGTGAGAGTGTAGTGTCTGCGACAGTGAGGGGAAGGATAAAACACAGATTTTTCTGTGGAAGTGACCCCTAAGACGGCAGCTAATCCGAAAACCAGAGTACTGGGTCTGGAGGAAAGGGTCTTGGCGTGGTAACCGCTGCTCGGGAGGAGCAGGGCGGGGGGACCTGAGTGGGGGCCTGGGTCTCGGAGAGTGGGGGAGGCACCCAAGGCTTTGCCGTCAGCCTGGAGTACTCGTTCTGCCCCAGATGCCTCGGGGTGGTTTAGTCGTTCTGTGATGTTTAAGGTGACATTTCTGAGGGGAGAGCCTCTGAAAACGGACATCATTAGTCACATCTCACCCTACGCTTGGAGCTGCTAGCTTGTAACTGCTTCCTGCATTCGGCAATGTTCAGGTGCTGGCCACTGTTCCGGGTGCTGGAGAGGCAGCGGTGAAAAGCCCAGGCCCCAGGCCCCAGGCCCCCGGAGCCTGCATTCTAACGGACAGCAAAGGTGCTATGTTCACACGCCTGCTGACTTGTGCACACCCGTTTCCACACCTGGAAGGCAAGTTGTTAGGGAGCGCAGGTTTATGAGAGCTTGCGAAAGAACACAGCTGACACCGTAGCTGTGTGCGGACAGTAGGCAGGCCTTCTCTGTAAACTAGCTAATGGAACTAAAATTAAGGATCAGCCCAAAAGTTGCCCGGGGTGGAGTGCTTTAGAAACGTTAGATGTTCACCCTTGATATGATTTAGGTTTTGGAAAAGAGCATGGGCTAGAACAGGAGTTCTGCAGTCAGTTTTGTGAAAAGTGCTGTCTAGGAGGTAGGCATATAAGGATGCACCTGTAGGTTCTTTGTCTGTTTGTAGCATTTCTGTTCCTAAGTCATTTTTGATGTGTGTGCTGAGTACTGCTGATGGAATCCATGCAGAGTCCAGTCTTTTCCTCCATGCACCCCCCCCCCCCGTGTCAAGATGTCACATTGATGTTACATTGTATACAGCAAAACCAGATGAACTGTATGACCTGAGGTGGTGGCTCTCCACTTTGTCTCATTGTTAATTCAGAACCTTGAGTCATGTAGCGCCCACTGGATCTCACGAAAGGAGAAGTAGCCCTGTTCTGCCGTCTGCAGAAGAGCGGGTCTGTCCTCGCACTGGGCCTCCTGTAGTGGTCAATAGAATGCTCTGAGCAGGCTCTGAGTTCTGCGCCATCTGCTCTGGGGTCCACCACGCAATGCCTGTGGGTCTGCCATTTGACTGGTATTTTTAACTTTGACTTAGATGAAACTTGTTCATCATTTTAAATAAAGCAACTTGATTTGGAGATGGGCTTTTTGCATTGTTTTGTCCTTGTTTCTTTTCATATATACTCATCTCAAAGTCCACATAATGTCCCAACCCCAAAAACTCACACCCAGTGCTATTAAGTTGATTCTGACTCATAGTGATCCTATAGGACAGAGTAGAAATGCCCCATAGGGTTTCCAAGGCCAAAATCTTTATGGAAGCAGACTGCCACATCTTTCTTGCATAGGTTTGCTGGTGGGTACCAGCTGTAGACTGTTGGGTTAGCAGCCGAGCACTTAACCACTGCACCACCAGGGTTCCTTCCCCATATAATGTAGACCTGTTAAAAATACACCTTAAAGCAATGGGGACAGGGCACAATCAGGTCAATACATTTTGTCTGACAGTGCCTCGGTGGCCAAAAGCCAGCAGGCTGGCACTGATGCCCATCCCACATTTTTTATCAGCCATCACTAAAAGGAAGTGTATGTCCCTGTCAGTGTCTGGAGGTGCCGGGGTTCATCTCCCGCAGAGATCCTGTTTGTCATCATGGAGCGCAGGAGAAGCCTGAGGGCGGCCAGCTTGTATCTTCCTTTTAGAAAGAAACGCTTGAATCTGGCCTCAGCAGTCATTACAGCGCACCGGAATTTTCCCCCCTAAAAAGTATTAAATGCAAAAACTGGAGCCTTGTAACCAAACTTAATGGTCTGACAGACTGGAGGAACCCCTGAGACTACGGCCCCCTGGACACCCTGCTAACTCAAAACTGAAGCCACTCGCCACTTTTCAGATATAGATTAGATAGGCCTATAAAACAAACAGTAACACGCTTGAGGAACATGCTGCTTAGTTCAGTCAAATACGTGAGACCAAAGGGGCAGGGAGAAGGCAAGAAGGGACAGGAAAACTGGGCGAATGGACACAGGGAACCCTGAGTGGAAAGGGGGAGAGTGCTGTCCCGTTGTGGGGGTTGCAGCCAGTGTCACAAAACACTTTACGTATAAAGTTTTGAATGAGAATCAAACTTGCGCCTGAAGCACAATAAAATTAAGACTAAAAAAAACAAAATTGAGGCCTCGGTTTTTCAACATCAGGCCTCACGCTTGGCAGCACCTGCCCTGTGTGTATTCACAATCACTTAGAGTGAGTGCGAGCTGTAGAGAAATATGGATTATTTTTTTTACAACACGTTTATCTCAAACATAACACTGTTCAACAACAGGGCACTGGAAGACTCCGGAAAAACAAAAACCTAGTAGACTTCCTCTCCGCGTCCACACACCACCCCCATAAGGTCCATAACTGTGCAGAGAGGAGAAGTCGGGAGACAGAGAAATAGTGTTGACCCAACGCACCCCACGCAGAATTTCAGAAAGGGGCCTTGGATCTTGGGGGGAAGCCCCGTGACAGCAAGACCTTGAGAAGCTGCTGCGGGGTGGCGACCCGGGGGGGCCAGTGCCTGCGGACGGCCTCCAGAGAGGCCCTAAAACAGACTCAGGAATAGCAGCGGCGCGGCGCGTCTGCCCCCGGTTCTCACTGCCTTACTCACGGCGACTTCCCTGGGCTTACTGTGCCTCACGTTCCCAAACTAGCGTGTGCATTTCCACATTTTTAGAAACAGTCGTCAGGACCTGGCTCAAAAGATAGATGGCGACAGTCTAAGGACGCCTGATACCGAGCCTTTCAAACGTAGTTTCCCGAACGAGCCTGAGCTCAGATAGCTCGGTTGTGCGCAGAGCGACAGGGCCGCCCTTATCGGGCCTCCCCAGGGCACCGGGCTCTGGCCCCCGGG